ACGATTACTCATGATTATTCCAACAATTTTGTCATAAAACTTGCAACTCTACATCGATCAAATCGCGTAAAAATACGCGTAAAAATATTTGAAAAATGCTCGTACAATATGCTTGATATTGCACGAACGTTCAGATAATAACAAATCGGTTGATCTGCATATAATTTCAAAAGGCACTTGGAGCGTTAAAAATAAATTCATTGTAACGAATTTTAAAAATAGACCTGCAGGAAACGAGGCAACATGCAATGCGCTTGACGAGATGTCGCAAAGGTATTGCCGAGCGATTTGCCAGCAAAAAGTAGCAGAAATATCTCACGGATTCCATAAAAATACATCGCGGTAATGTCACGGCAAAATCGAACATCGTGATAAACCTTGTTATCTCTTTGACGTTCATAAGACATGATATACTACATATATATGTATATATACACACGCGCGTCACAAATTGCCGCGCGATTTATTATTTCTCTTTGAGTTCTCTCTCTCTTGTGTCGATAATCTTGAGAACGCGCGATCTTTCCGACTCCTTCGTCTTTTGCGAGGTGCAGTTTTCTATAGATCCTTTATCGAATATCAAGATGCTTTCCATGCGGTCAAACTTTTATTTATACGAAAAATTTGAGGATACGAGAGAGGCACGTCTTAGAAAAAAAGTCTTACTTAAAAAATTAACCACAATTTCATTTGTTATAATTTAAGAAAAATTACATATTTTGTTTTATATGTCTTATGTAAATATCGTATATAAATGTTGGAGTATTATATGCATTGAGTCTACATTTGATCTACGTTTACGACGTTTATTCTATTGATGAAATCGACATAGATTGCGTCTTCATTACTACCGTGAACTAATAGGCTAATTATTAATTAGCTGACTACACATCGCGCTTTAGATTAATGTACCTAAATTGGATAATGATCTGAGACCGAAGCAGCACTACAAAGCTACAACTTCTACATTCGCTTACGTGCATATACCTCAACTAATTTCGCATTCAATTATAATCTGCTTCGTGAATGTTTCCCTCAAAATCACTTTACATTACGCTATGTCATATCTTTGAAATAATTCAATAAAATCGATATCATTATGTTAAATAAAATTTTGTACATTTTTGTCATAAATTAACTAGTTTTAAATTAACTAATTTTAGTTCATTATTGTTAATTATTTATTATTAATCAACTGATAAAATTAATTAATGACATTAAAATAATGTCATTTTTAATCATTTCATTTGTGCAATATAAATTTAAATATTTGATTTAAATGTAGCTCCAAAGACATTGTTTTAACTATTAAAAAAATAATGTTTCTTTCTCTATTTTATCTTTATCTATTCTACAACAAATGACTTATCTCAATTATTAAAATAAGCTTTATAAATAATATTTCAAAAATGATTCTAGTATAAAAAATCGAGAATTATCTGTACATAAAATAGTTAATGGCCCTCTGGTCCCTCTGGTCTTCTCTAATAATTTTTATTTCTTCTTTAGATTTGTATCATCCTGATTGCTTTGAATTAATAAATTCGACTAATTCGACATGGTAATCTTTCAAATGGTTGTAAGATTACGATTATTCATCCCTATAACACGCATGTACATCCCCTTATATACGTATATCTCCGCTCGGACTAATTAGACAAGCATTTACTACTCGTGCGTAATAATGCTAATCCTACTTTTCGGTGTCAATACATAGCCAGCAGTTGTGATAGGATGAACCGAGGTATACGATCGAAAACGTATGCACGCCGGCGGCGCACCTATGTACACGTGTGCGTATACGCACGGGCTTTCGCGTGCACGCGTGCACACACGCATGCAGCAGAGAGAGGCATCGTCGTACTAATCCAAGCTGAATAGAGAGATTTCAATGTTTTTATGCTGGGGCACAATGGAGTGCCCACTTGATGCTTAGCTCTCCACTGCTTTTTATTAAATCTACGGTGCGCCGACGCCTGATGTGGACCAGGCGATTGGGGGAGAGTAGGGGATAGTCGAGAGGGTAAGGGCACGGGTGAAATTAAAAATTTATTTACCATGCCGATCGGTCACATGTTGCAAATCATTCTGCCGTGACGTAACCAAAGAAAGAAATCGCCTGCAGACATAAAAGTCATCGACGGTGCGCATCGACGATACTCTCATGTAATTATTAAGATGACATTACATGAAGAAATATAACAATTTATAAATATAAACTGATAGAGATTTTTAACAACTAGTAAAAGATATTAATAAAAGAAGATAAAAATATAGTCATATAATAATGATCGGTAAATGTAACTTATGACTTTTTAGCACGAAGTCTTTGAACCTGCGTTTCGTTGTGTCGTTATATAATTCTTTGAACTTTTTTACCTATATGAATATGCTTTTTCCTAAAAAATTGTCTTATCTCAAAGTGTTTTCTGATACTATATAACATCTGTAAACATTGATTTTATATACGAAAATTTCAAAATATGAGAAAAATTCTCGGCAAAGAAAAGAAGATTATTATAATATATAAATATATATTGACAAGTGAGATAAATCATGTCCATTTTTTAACCATGTTTTTATTATATGGGACAAAAATTTAAAAGCATCAAATCAATGCATTTAAGAGATAATAAAAAGAACATCAAATCTTATCACTACTATGCTGCTTTGTTCGATGTTCATTAATATGATTAAAAACTTAGCTTTTAATTAATCAATCTTTATTCGTCTTGATTGCAAAAGTAAAGGTTAAAAAAAGAAGAAAATAAGAATCTGAGTTTAAAATAATTCACATGTATAAATCAGGCAAATTTCATTTATTTTTATAATATAATTAGAGTAAAATAAAAATACTTTTAAATGACGACTAGACCATTCGGAATGATCGTTTTCCCGATAAAGCACATACGCACCTTTGCATCTATGTGGATTATGTGCCTAAGCGTTAAGCGTTAAAAGGGATCTGCGATCCAGTCCAGTCGACGAAACATACTTTCGTGAGACAGGAGCGGATTATAAGTGGCTGAGGACTTTACGTTGGAAATCTAATAAAGTCCTTAAGAGGACTTACGTTAATACGTCGGCCGCGAGAGTTCCACGGGATAAAATGCGACGAGACCATGTTTTCAAAAAAAATATTGTGGAACGCGCGTTTATGAAAATTTATAAATTTATATAATACAAACTCCTTAACATTTCCATGTCAAGACGCATGATAAAAATACGTGTAGTTTGTACGTTGTGTACGTGTGTTTACTGAGAAGATATTTGTTTTTGAGGATAGTTTTTGAAGATAGTTGTTTTAAATATACTAGAGTGACATAAATAAATAGCTGAATCATTATTTAAATTATACATGTATGCATTTTCTCGAAGGTATAGATAAAATATATAATATATTAGATAAGATTATAGATAAAATATATAATATATTATAGATAAGATTATAGATAAAATATATTATATATTATTAACATTTAATAGTACTTTTATTAACTCAAATAAAAATTCTATTCATAATTTAATTTAATAATATCAGAGATAAAGTGTCTATTTATATTGATATGCATAATTATTAAAAAATTATTATACATTCTAATTTTAATGTTGTATAAAATTTGTGACTGTTTTATATTTTTATCTTTTCCTTCTTCCTATTTCTTTTTTGTAAATAAATAATACTAAAACAATAGTAATAATTTGTATAAAATGACAAAATATACGCACATTTATTGAGAAGAAATATTTGTTTTAAATATAATCAAAATGTCTACAATTATCATGGCAAATACAAATTATATACAATGATCTTTCAGAATTTCCTATGAATTATAGTAAATACACGCAAAACGATTCGTTCGGGAGTATACAAACATTGTAAATATACATAAATTGCACTTCTAGTAATTTATAAATTTATTATGATATCCAGAACATTGTTCATATGATTATTCGCGCTTGCACATCACGTGTGGTATTTCTGTATTTGTATACCGCACAAAGAGACAGTATACATCCAGTATATATATATATATATATATATATATATATATATATATATA